TTCTCTGAATCAAATGCTCAGTGGCTTAAACCCATTCGTCAAATAAATCAGTCTTTTGGAAATCAGAAATTCAGATAATTATTACACCTTCTGCAAATCTCATGCACTCTTTTTGCAAAATGCTAAACACATTCTCACTCACTAAAACACATTTCACACTGTGATGCATTTGTGTTGCAAAACAGCAAACACAGCTACCACAAAGCTGCCATCATTTACACAACAACTCCAAATTTAATATATAATTATATAATATAATTTTTGTATCATATAAAAAAATATTATTAAAAGCCATGCTGTGTATTGTAAATACCTATGTTTTATACTTTAAATAATCGTAAGTAGTAAAACAACACAAACGGGGCAAAAATGCATTTTAGAAACATTTTGAGTCTCCCCCTCCCTTGCCTCACAGTGCTTTGGTCTAAATGCCTCCTTTCCTCTTTTACATCCCCTACACACACACACACACAAGTCCAGTGAGAGAGAACAAAGTCAATAGTTGTGGAACTCCAGTAAGTAAGGCTGTCAAGGCTATTTTATTCACTTAAACATTGCATGAAGTGATTATTTCACTTTTACAGATGATGCCAATGTACTTTTCGATGAGTTCGCCATGTTAGTAATAATAACCTTACCTACTTGACGGAAAGGGTTGCCAGGTTTTCACAACAAAACCCACCCAATTGCTACTCAAAACTAGCCCAAACTCAGGGGCGGACCAATAAGCGAGGTAAGCGGCCCCGGGGCATCAGGGGGTCTGATATTTTTCGCCATCTGATATTGGCGAAAAATATTTGGCAAACGCTCCAGTGTGTATATGTGTTCTGGAGAGCGTAAAATTTTCGTAAGTTGTGAAGAGGTAAATAAACTATGAGAGAGAGAGAGAGAGAGAGAGCGCAAAATAAGAGTTAGGCATAAAAGAGCATGCTTAGTTATTGTGTTGGGGCCCCATACCTGACATTTGCTTAGGGCCCACAAATCACTAAGTCCGACCTTGCAACTAACCGCGTTTCGAGAGGGTCCCCCGGTAAAAATCAGCGTTCCGGAGGCTAAAATACACGTTATTGGGGCGAAAAATATTTGGCAAACGCTCCAGTGTGTATATGTGTTCTGGAGAGCGTAAAATTTTCATAAGTTGTGAAGAGGTAAATAAACTATGAGAGAGAGAGAGAGAGAGAGAGAGCGCGCAAAATAAGAGTTAGGCATAAAAGAGCATGCTTAGTTATTGTGTTGGGGCCCCATACCTGACATTTGCTTAGGGCCCCCAAATCACTAAGTCCGACCTTGCAACTAACCACGTTTTGAGAGGGTCCCCCGGTAAAAATCAGCGTTCCGGAGGCTCAAATACACGTTATTGGGGTCGCTTCAACCCGCAGACATAAAAAAAAAACTCGGGACACCAGTGATAAAGTAGCCCAATTCCACAGGAAAGCCACAGGCTTGGCAACACTGTGACGGATTGTAATGTCTACAACGGACACAAGTGCTGTCGCGGTGCGACCACGACAGCTCTAAGTTGTCTAA